ACGTTACGTTACCTTTACCTTTAAACGTTTACGTAACGTAGTACGACTACGTAACGTACGTAAGTAGGTTAGTAGTAGTAGTAGAGAGAAGAGAAGGAAGAAAAAAGTAAGTAGTGTCAGGAGAGAGAGAGAGAGAGAGAGAGAGAGAGAGAGAAAATGGATTGAATTGGAATTAAGGTTTGGTGCTGGTTAGTTTTGTATTGAACAAGATTACTTGCTCCTCTTACCCAAAGAATAAAGAGAAAAAGAGGATGAGAGAGGTGAAAGATGGAGTTTTCAGAGAGAAAGGAGAGATACAGAGTTTTGAGAGAGAGAGAGATGGAGTCATTTTACAAAATGTTTAGGTCAATAATGTATGGTCAAAAGGGTCTAGGGGGTAGGTTAATAGAAAAGATACGTACTCTATGCCGCAAGTAACAATTTAAATTCTTGGGTATCTTGAGAAATGGAAGCGAAAAATAGGGGATAGGAAGATATTTTCCCAAAAATTTATTTATGCAACATTATAGATAAAAAGAACATGTATTAGCCAAACTTAGAATCAATAAAAAAAGTTATATTGATATAGTCATTCACAATGCCACTACAAGTAGACTCGTCATAAATCTTCATTTTGACAAGCATGAATTAGTTCCTACTGGCAAAAAATATTTATTTATGCAACATTATAGACAAAAAGAGTATGTATAAGCCAAACTTAGAATCAAGAAATTTTTTTTTTTTACAATCGTATAGTATCAATAATAAAAAAAAAATTACAATGATATAGTCATTCATAATGCCACTACATATAGACTTGCCACAAATAATATTTACAATGATGTAGTCATTCACAATGCCACTACATGTATCAAGATAATATAATTATAAAATATATATCAAGAACATACATACATTTTATGTATCAACATACATTTTATTACATTAAAAATTTAACAATAAAATTGGAAATTACAAGTTAATTTTTCATGATAATAAAAACTTAGTCATGATTTTTCAGAAAATCATGAGTTTTAAAAAAAAATTGAAAACACCAACAATCACGATTTTTCAAAAAATTGATCACCAAAATTTGGTTAATCACACAAATAACACCAGTAATAGTCCGAATAATATTATTATCCTCAAAAGCTCTTTGAAATCATTCAAAATGATGCTCTAATTCGGCTGAAAATTTCAGTTTTGCAGATTTTTTAACTCTTTTCCTAAAAACGCAGCCACAACTCCATTTCTTAAATTATCGAGCAATAAAAATTGGTTAATCCTACAAATTACACCCAAAATCATATCAAGAATAATATTACCTTCAAAAACCCTTTGAAATAATTTATAATGGTGCTTTAATTTGTCTAAAATTTATAGTTTGGCGAAAATAAAAAAACCTAACTGTTCTCGATAAAACCGTGACTCAAAATAAAAAATTCACTACAAATCAACCAAAAATAAAAAATAGGCTACAATTTATGATCAATAACATTATAAAGAACTAAAACCCTATGATATGAAGAAAATATTTGCTAAAAATCAATTGGAATCGACTAAATGGCGGAGAAAAAGAAGCTCTTATCTGTTCTTTTGAAACTGTGACTTCAAATCCAAAATTGACTTATAAGCGGCCAAAATAAGCAAAAATAGTGTACAATTTCTCTCAATAACAATGTTATGAGTAAAAACCATCTAATTTAATAAAAAATAGTACCATATTTCCTCTGCAATCAATGAAATGGCGGAAAACCTAAATACAATCATGTGCTCTTTACAAAACCATGAATTTTTAATCTAAATTTGACGTTTGAGTTCAATTATAATGGCTATAAAGTTAGATCCAAAGCCTGAAAGATTCGATTTGTTTCAATAATTGATTAAAAAAATCCAAAATGTAATGATTTTTCATGCTTTACATTAGTCATCAAGTCTTGAACAGTGACTCGGGCGGGTTCACTATTGAAAATCACCCATTCTTCTCTATAACTAAGTGATATTACACGTTTTACTGAAATCGAAACAGGATGACTGATCCCAACGTCGAATCACCTAAATCCGTTCCAAGAAGCGATTTTTATATTAGTGCCGTTATTTGTAAAACGCGACGAGCGCCGGTCCATCCCGCCTATTCCTTTTCGTAACCTATTGCTGCCAGCTATACACAACTTAAAATGCCATACGCCATTTATCATGTATACGTCAGACTACTGACGTATGGCCTGCTCGCAAAGAAACTCTATAAATAGCGGGCGAACTCTTATAATAAAGAAGCGCTTACGCTTTGACTTTACCACCACCAGCTAGCAAGACGCGGGCAACCATGGCAGCGAGGTTATTATCTCATATAATCAATCACAACTCCTCTGTTCCTCACCATTACATCAGACCCATTTCTGATCGTCCCAACCTCGCCCAACTCCATTACACTGACTCCGCCATCTCTTCTATCGATCTCCAAAGCCTTCAAGGACCTCATAGGACCCTCATCCTTCATAAGATCGCCCAAGTTTGCCAAAAGGATGGCTTCTTTAGGGTATAATCTCCCTCATTTTATCATCATGCCATTTGCCTCCTTTGTTTCTTTTCTTTTGTTTTAATCTCGCTCTGAGACCATCCCGAAATTTGCAGGTGGTGAATCATGGGATACCGGAGGGTGTCATTGAGAACATGATGCAGGTCTCACGTGATTTCTTCGGACTTCCAGAGTCCGAGAAGATGAAGAGCTTCTCAGATGACCCCTCCAAAACAATGAGACTCTCCACCAGCTTCAACATGAAGAGAGAGAGTGTTCACAATTGGCGTGACTACCTAAGGCTCCATTGCTATCCTTTGCAGGACTTCATTGACGAGTGGCCCTCAAACCCTACTTCTTTTAGGTCCAACTCCGCTGGCTCAAAATCAGTCTTTTGAGTCAAAAAGCTAATAAACTTTAAGGAAAATTATGCATACGTCCAAATGAGCTTTGGATACATTCTACCTCCAATATTTTTAGTATCACACCGATAATTCAGCTACTATTTTTTCTTGTTTTTACTATAGTTACTGGGAGCGCCCAACTAAGGTGGCGCTCTCTCTCCGGAGCCTAGCTCCTGCGCTCCGTAGCCGGGATCTCAACCGGAACTCGTTGTCTACTTTTTAGGAGCTTGCTCCTATTTTTAAGATTCTTGATCCCGTTCACAATAGAGCTCGCTCTCAATACTGCACGGAACACGTTATTTAAATTTTAGGATCTCGTTCCTAAATATCTTAGATCCTTGCTCCCAGAATTTTAGTAGCGTGATCCCTGTATTTTTGGAACTCCATCCTTATTTTTTCGATACATCCTAAATGAAACTTCTTAAATAAAATTAATTTTTAAAATAAAATAATTATATTTTAAGCCAAAATTTCATAAAAGTGGAGTTTTGCGATGGGAGCGTGGACTAATCATGCACAGAACGCGATCCTTCCTTGAATGGAGCTCGATCCTTTCCAAATAGGAACGTGGTCATTCTTAGATGGGGGCGCGATCTTGTTGTCGATGGGAGCACAATCCTAATGAATATGGGAACACGATCCCATTTGACATGGAAAGTGTTCTTGTTAAATAGGGATCTCGATCCCGATGTATTGGAAACATGCTTCTTGTTCATATGGGATCTTGATACGCTACTTTTACCCTTACCGGACCTCTCTTCCGCTCTCGGAACCGGAGCCGTTCCCGCTCTCGCTCTCGGTAACTATGGTGTTTACTCTTAGTTAAAAAATAAATCTTCTAAAGACTAAACTATCCTTCTCCTTTCTCTCTTTACCATCCCTCTTTCTCTTTCTCTCTTTCTCTACCAATATTAGAGAGAGGGGCGGGGATAGAGATATAGAGGGTGGGTAGAGAGAGACTGATATTGGGTAGATAGAGAAAAAGAAAGAGAGAGAGAGAGCAGGTAGAGAGATTGATATTAAACAAAGAGAGAGAGGGCAGGTAGAGAGAGATACTGATATTGGGCAGAGAGAGAGCAAGTAGAGAGATAGAGAGCAGGTAGAGAGAGGGGAGCGGGTAAACAGAGGGCGGGTAGGGAGAGTAGATGGGTAGAGAGAGATAATAGTTGGGCATTAATTTCATTAAAGGATAAAGTTTCTATAAAGCTTAGGCTTTATGAAACAAAATAGAGCCTTACTTTAAGTTCTAGTCCGAAAGGCAATTTGGCAACAGATATCTCCATGATGGATCTAAATTCAATTTCCAATACAGATATAAAATTTGAAGCTCTAAAACATGCTACAGATCTTGCAGATCTTTGTGTACTTACTTTTAGGGTGAAATAGCTAGATAATTTATTACAACATGCACTATTTTTAATGCTTGAAATCGTAATTTCTTGTTCACAACCACAATACTCAAGCCAAGATAATCATTGTAAAAGTTCTCCGATACTTGAATTGCAATTTTTGATGAGCTATGAGATGAGGCTTTACTGATTTTGATAAGCTACAGCCCTATCAAACCATTTTCCATCATTAAAAAGTCTCAATAAAATCTCAAACCATTTTCCATCATTAAAAAGTCTCAATAAAATCTCTTGTTTTGTGAGCTTACAACTAGTTCACATTCTTAAATATAAAATTAAGTCGTTTTGCAGGGGATGTGTTGGTGAGTACTGCACAATGGTAAGAGACTTGGCTTTGAGGCTCTTGGAAGCCATTTCTGAGAGCTTGGGCTTGGAAGGGGATTACATAGAGAAGGCATTAGGGAAACAAGGGCAACATATGGCCATCAATTATTATCCTCCATGTCCTGAACCAGAGCTCACCTATGGATTGCCAGACCACACTGATCCAAACGCTTTAACCATTCTCCTTCAAGATGAAGTTCCTGGGCTTCAGGTGCTCAATAATGGCAAGTGGGTGGCCATCAAACCCATACCTAATTCTTTTGTTGTGAACGTCGGTGACCAGATTCGGGTGAGCGTATATCTTTTCCATCAAAGAACTTTGTGAACAATTTTGAAAATTATATATAACCATGGGATATGAAATTTCAATTTTTTATCATAAAGTTCGAGAAATTTTTTTTTGAGCCTTGAACTTTATCAATAAAATAAATATAGCCACTTAATTTTACATTCAATAGTCAATATTAATTGCGACTACCTTCTTGTTGCCCTATCAAAACAATTTTTTTTTTTTTATAACTCAATGAACTCGAACATTGACTGAAATGTATTGATTTAAATTACAAAAAGAACATTTTGCATAACCGTAATGGCCAATGTCATGTCACTTTGAAGTTTTCTGACCCCAAAAGTGCAAATTTTTTCATTAGTAGTGAGATGTGGCTTAATTATTTTAATAGGGTGGAAGCTCTTTTAAAACATTTCTATTTATTTTTTAACTGAACGAATGCCGTGCATTGACTGAGAATGTGTGATTTAAATTATGGAAAGAACTTTTTGCCTGATTAAGATATAAAAATATTGTGAAGAACACAAACTGAATGCAGGTGATAAGCAATGGAAGGTACAAGAGTGCAAGGCACAGAGCAGTGGTGAACAGTGAGAAAGTGAGGATTTCAATCCCAACCTTCTATTGTCCATCTCATGATGCCGTCATAAGCCCAGCTGAGAAGCTCCTAGATAAGGACCACCCACCAATTTACCGAAGCTACCCTTACAGCGAGTACTATCACAAGTTCTGGGAAACAGGATTAGAGGTAGAAAATTGCCTTGACTGCTTCGCAGTGAGTAACTGACTACTATTGAGAACTGGCACTGTCAAGTCCCTTTGATAAACAAATAAACCATGGAAACTGCATTAAAAAATAAACAAAAAGGGATGGAAATTCTGCAGTGAAATTATGACATTATAATGCAGATCAAGATCAGATGAATTCAATATTTTCTATTCTTATCAAATGTTTGAGGACTTAATTATTTTTTATTAATTTTTTTATGGTTGTGTTTTTTAACTTTATTTTAGGAGAGTTAATTTTTAGAAATAAGATTAGTATGGGTTTTTGTTTAGTTTGATAAAGTCTTGTTTTCTAGGAAGTACGGTTTTTTAAGAATGTTAAAGTTCATATTTTGGGATAAATTTGTTGAGTACTTTAAGTTTTAGGAACAGAGAGTAATAAAAGGATGAGGCGTGCATGTATTGTTGGCTGGTGATTTGAATAAAGAGAAAATACTTGATGTAGAGAGAGAGAGAAAAAAGCTGGGTCTCTTATTTAGTTTTGATGTTGTGTGAAGAGATTTTGACTCCTGCATTTGTAATTTCTCTTGCCGTATTTTTTTTTTATTTTTTTTATTTTTATTTCTCTCTTTAAAATCTGGTTGTTAGCGATCAATAAATTTTAACTAGGTCACATTAGGGGTAAGTTTAGGAGATTAGAATGGACTTCCTCAGTTTAGAAAGCATCTTGCTGCTGTCATTAAAGTAATAGGAAATAGTCAAAAGGGACATGCAATGAGTTATTATTAGGGAAAAATTTTATAAGGTTGTAATTATAATTTATAGAAGTAAGATTGTAATACTTTATATTGTTTATTTTATTTAGATGGTATATCTTTGGTACTATTTTTAAAGACATGTCACTTTTTGATATTACCTTACAAGACATATCAAATTTATACCATTCAATTAAAATAGACGGTGAAGACCTTAACTATAAATAAGGTTCTGATTTTATACAAACTATACCCTTTTTTAACATTGGTTTATGGTACAAGGGAGAGTTAGTTCTAGTGCTTTTACTTGCAGATGCGTGTGACCAAAGTGGTGCTTAATTTTGGCACATTGTACTTGTTCAGGCATTTGTGACTCCCAACTTAGACACGTTTTCTAGTTTATTTTGGTTGCTTTCGTGAAGGAAAACTTCAACTTTGGCTCCTCAAGCCTATCAGTTAATCCCTCCCAATTTATTGACTATAATTAGATGGTTGGATAGCTTCGGTCAAAATGCCGCAGCTAACAATGTTTTCTGTTTACATTTTTTTGTATAAAAATCATTTCGACATAAAATATGGGGAATGCCTATTCTTTCTAGGAAAAATTAATAAAAAAATTATTTTTGATGAATTAAAATAACTCAAATACCCCTAAAAAGGCATTTTGTGATTTGTTTTTGGGAGAAATACTTTGTTTGGTTTCTTTTAGATGTCCCTATAATTAGTGGGGACAATTGACTATAATTAGATGGTTGGATAGCTTCAGTCAAAATACCACAGCTAACAATGTTTTCTGTTTACTTTTTTTTTTTGTGTGTAGAAATCATTTGGACATAAAATATGTGGAATGCCTATTCTTTCTAAGAAAAATTAATAAAAACTATTTTTGATGAATTAAAATGAATAAAATACCCCTAGAAAAGCATTTTGTGATTTGGTTTTAGGAGAAATACCTTTTTTGGTTTCTTTTAGATGTCCCAATAAATAAGTGGGCATGTCCCAAATTTAAAACCAAAATTAATTACAAAATAAAAATAAAAACTAAATACAAGAACACATTTAGCCATTCTGTCTAACATTAGAAGCTCAGAGGTTAACTTGTGAGATTATGACTAAAGATATCATAGTCGTTCATTTAGATCGTTTGGTTTAGAATAACAATGACATACCAATGACATACCTGTTATAAATGGGTGGCGCCATAAAAAGATTTCTTTAACGCAAGTGCATTGAAAATAGGCAATAAATTTCACTACAAAGTCAAAAAAAAATTGTTATAATAAAAATAATAACATATAAGCAACATGAACATTTAGTATTCTATAAAATGCAGAAAATTTATGAATAGATATAAATTTTTTGTGGAATTATGTTTTGGTCTATATTTAATGCAGGGAGGATGAGAAAAAGTAATTAAAACAAACTAATAATAAAGGCTAGAGAATAAACCCTCTCTGGGTTGGTAAAAAACTCTACCCAAAAAACCTCTTCACAAGATGTGATGCAGAGAGAAAATAATAACCAACCAAAAATAAAAGTAAAATAAAAATTTAAGAGATTATATTCTCTCTCAAGGTCTGCAAGGGAGTTCACCCTAAAACGATCTTTACACAAGATAAACTTCTTTAATTCAGATATTTTTACAAGATCAATTTTTCTCAATTAATATATTTTCACAAGATCAACTTTTCTAAGTTCTTATTCTTTGATTATTCTCTGATCCTTTATAATGAAATGACATCTCCCTTTAAATAAACTTTAGAAGAAGAAAAACCTACAAAGATAATTCTCTCTCTTCTACTAACTTTCCCCTATTTTATATCTCCTCCTTATTTTCTTCTCACTTTTTCTATCTCCCGCGTAACATTTCTATTTCTTGCTCACCTTTTTTCTCTCCCACGTACCGTTTCTATTTATCAATTTTTATCATGGTTGATCTTCTCCATATCTAAATCCTTTATCTTTCTCCTATCTAAATCCATCTCTATTTAAATCTAACTAAATCTCCTACCAAGATTACCTTTCCAAGATTAGTTCCTATCTAATCCCTAAAATTCTCTTAAGAACTCACGCTTTACTACTTAACACAAAGTTACGTACCAAAATTTCCCTCATCTCACTTTAACTTATCCTAAAATAAACGAAAAGAATAATAAAATAAAAAATTAAAACAACCCCGATTTTATTTGCATCATTCTCCCAAGGTTGGGAGAAGCTCAACCTCGAGCTTATCGAAATCAAATATTTTAAAAGCCTTCTCAAAGTTGGTGATGTAGTCCCACCATGCACCTAAGCTGATTCATCCAATGCTTCATGGTTATCTCGAAGTAGAACACAGTGATTTCGGGCTCAATCTTGATTTTTCTTTCAAACTCACTTGGTCAGATTTCAAATACTGCACCAAATATATCTTCTACTTCATAATTGGTTTTTAAAATTTCTTGCACATTGGGGTTATCAACATCATCTTTTGTATCGATATCTAACTCTTCATATTCTTGCTCCTCTTTTTCTGATTGTAATCAATGAAATAGATCTCGTAGACATTGTTCTACTATTTGGCTAATACTATCTACTAGGTCTTCTTTGAATCTATCAAATTTAATCGAAGCTCTCCATAACAAGAGCAAGGACCACAAGACTTTGATACCAATTAATGCAAAGAGAAAATAATAACCAACCAAAAAATAAAAATAAAATAAAGTTTAAGAGATTATACTCTCTTTTAAAGTTTTTAAGAGATTATACTCTCTTTTAAAGTCTGCAAGGGAATCCACTCCAAAACGATTTTTTCACAAAATTAACTTGACTCAATTCAGATTTTTTCATAATATCAACTTTTCTCAATTCAGATCCTTTCATAAGTTCAACTTTTCTTAGTTCTCATTTATTCATTCTTTAATGGGAGATCTTCCAATAAATAAACTTTAGAAGAAAAAAAATCAACAAAGATAATTCTCTCTCTTCTACATACTTTCTCTGATTTTATCTCTCCTCCCTATTTTCTCTCTCCTTATTTTCTCTCTCACTTTTTATCTCTCCCATGTACCATTCCTATTTCTCTCTTACTTTCTATCTTTCCCACATACCATCCTTATTTTTCAATCTTTATAATGGTTGACCTTCCTCATATCTAAATCCCTTATCTTTCTCCTATCTAAAGTCATCTCTATTTAAATCTAACTAAATCTCCTACCAAGATTACTTTTCTAAGACTAGTTCATATCTAATCTCCAAAAGTCTCTTAACAACTCACGCACCTCCTCACGTACCAAAATTTCCCTCCTCTCACTTTAACTTATCATATTTTTTTTCTTATTCTTAAAGGAAATAAACAAAAGAATAATAAAATAAAAATTAAAACAACTTCAAGTTTATTTGCATCAAGATCAAATCAATTTCTTTGCTCTCAAATTAAACTAGTTCTCAAAAAGGGACGTACTACCATTTAAATACAAACTAAAAGAAATAATAAAAGAGACTCTCATAAAAGTGTCTCTCACTCTCCCCACATATTTTTTCTAGCTCTCTCTCTCTATCTCTCACTCGCCCTTAAATGCCTTGTTTCAATTTACTAACTAGAAACAAAGTTATTACATTTTTAAATGTGATCTGATATTGGAAATATTAGACCCGTATACAAAATGTTAAGTATGAGATGGTCCGATGTTTTGATTAACAGACTGCCTCAAAAATCTGTTCGATATCATCGTCCCCGTTTATATTATTAGAAATAATAATAGACAAAAGGACAAGAAATGTGGTATGATGTTTAAAACATCGGATTGGGTCAAAATAGCATAAAAGACCCAAAAAAAAGAAAACCTTCGCATAAAACTGCTATTTTTTTTTTTTTTTGCCATCACTTAAAAAGGTCACATGCCAATGCAGTGGAGAGAGATCTAGATTCCAGACAAGGCCTTAAAATTTTATTCATAGAAGGAAGGTATTCTAAGAAAAAGCAAATCCTTTTCACTGAAGGGAAAATAAACCAAATTTAACATATAACCAAATAATCCTATTTTCAACACTTCATTGAAGACATGGCACAAAAACCTGTTACCATTGTTTAAAAAACAAAGAAAAAAAATCCAGAAACAACCCATCTTCGAGGCAATGAACAAGGTTGGATACTGTTAAGCCGTCACTCATATATGTCGACGAAATGATGGTGGGGGAAGGTAGCGAGCGGTGTCTGCTCAAGTAATTGTTGCCCGTTCACTATCATCTGCTTCATCGGATGGATGAGACCTATGGTTCACCTCTCATAGTCCATCACTCTCTCTCTCACTTTTTGGTTTTTTGTTGGGGTAGAACAATGGGGGGAAGGGTTCGTCGTTGGGGTAGAACAATGGGGAAGGGTTCCCTTACCTGTGTTAGTAATGCAACCTAAGATGTCATATTATGTCACCCACCACTCAGACCACCTATGTCTTGTCCATTAACTCCCTGAAAAAAAAATTTACTTCGGAGAAATTTTTGGATCCCAAATTTGCGAGCTACCAAAGAATCATTTGATATATATCTTGAATGAAAATTTTGAATAATGAATTCTTTAACGCATGGATTGGGCTATCCAAAATTGGACGGTCTACATTTGTTTTAAGATGATTTTCTTACAAGCTTTTAGATTTTTATTTTTTAAGTGTATTTCTAGATTGAAGACAGTACATCCCCGATGGGATCCTAAAATTCAAAATTCTCCCATACGGAGTTTTATCATGAGACTATATCTCATCCAGGTGTCTTTTGATAAGTTTCCCTGGGAAAATCCTAGCTAACTTTCTTAAATTTTGGAAGCAGGTTAACATTAGTAGCCTGAAAGCTGAAAATCCTATTTGATAAATTGTGGTACTAGTATTCCCGTTTGGCATTGGCAAAGCTACAAACTACTTGTGTTAACCATTCTTTTTGTATTTCATTGATTGGATGTACGAAATGCATATTTAGTATAAGACTTTCTTGCTACAACCTACCTAATACATTTCACATTAAATAAGGCTCCTTCCATCCATCCAATTATAACACCAAAATATGTAATAGATTCAAGAAATACTTTATTGTGCTTGATGATTTCATAAAGGTGTAATTCCCATCTGATTCTATCAAAATTTATATCCTTAAGAAACAAGATTTAATTCTTACGATCAAAATTTCACTCAATGCATAGGCAGCCTTCAAAAGGAAACATATTTTATTTAATAAATAGATATTTAAAAGATTCAAAGGTAACCATTTTATTTAGTCATCCAACTAGTATACATTACAAAAGATAAGTATAACTCCTTTTAGATAGTACCATTAAAGCTAGTACTTGAACGCAGAGAAAGGGGGAGACGACAAACTTATGGCGGCGCATAAATGAATACACCAATAATTTTGAGGTCTTCGTTATTGTTCCCATATTTTTGCCATAATTTGCTCCCTCATTTGTACCCCAAAATTACGGGCAGACTTACTTTAAGGATTCAGCTCCTCAAGTACTTCACCTTCAGGTTCGGCTTCTTCTTCATCTCTAGTACACAACTTGAGATATTTCCTCACATTTCTAAGAACTCGATGTTGAAATGCCATCTTTTGATCAGAGCTCTAGGCTTTCCGTATTCAGATGTAGTTATGCAAAATACAAGTAGTAGTTACAATCCAAACCTATGTTGCAATTGGATATTAGAATTGAGACCTTAAGATGAGAAAACTCGCTTCCAGCCCCCGAAGGTGAGTTCCGAAACATTTTTTAATAACGAATGTTGATGATTAAATAGCTCTTTCAACATCCATAGAGATCTCCTACCCTGGGTCTCACTAAAGTGGTACTGTGCACGACGATATGGAGCAATGAATCCACATGTAGTAGGGTACCTTGCATCCACAAGGTAATAATTCCCTACACTAAATATGGCCAATATAGAAGTTTCTTTGTCATACGTAACTTGTAATGATTAATAGCTCAATCATTTTTTCACCTTGAGACAGTGGATACTTGTCCCTCTCAATAGCATCATGGAGAATTATTAAGTCTGTTGCAAAACCACACCACTCTGCTAGTACATATATAAAGCATATGCAAAAGCTAGCTCCAACCAAAACCGTTTGCAATAGCTCCCCCAACCAAAACCGTTTGCAATAGCTCCCCCTTCCGGTGATCGTATTGCTTTTGCAGTGACTTTGGAACCCAAGTAGGAATGTAGGGCCCATCCAATTCTCCAATACAATCCTAACATGACAGTCTCATGGAAGTAATAGTAACAATACAAACATCGGTAATTAAATCTAAAACAATTATACAAGGTTCATCTTCAAAAATAGGAAGAATCTTTTTTTCTTTGTGATCGTGCTATGTATTTCTATTGAGACAGGGATGTTAAAACATGGAGTCAATCACAATATTGTATTTAGGACCTTATTGAAGTATTAGCTTATAGTCTGCCCATACAGCTGAAATTGAATCTGAATCACTCTATTATGCTCATTATGTGCAATTGTATGTAAGAACATAGAAACTTGTTTTTCTACCATTATATACCAAGAATTATGAAGAAGACCTCTGTTTTTTTAAATTCCACACATGCCTAGAAAGGCATCTGTATCCATTTGCAATAAAGTGAAACCACTGTTCTCATGAGATCCTAATAATATGAAACAAATGCGACACCAGCAAACTAATATGTGTGAACTAGACTCCTCAATATTTACTAGGTGTAGTACCGAGCACATCACAAGACTACTACTTATGCAACATAATATCTCAATAGATATCATATAGCTCAAATGGATCCTTAGTGTAGCCTATCCCGCACTCCAAAAACACAAGGGGTCCATTTCAGTTACACCCATCTGGATGTGGATATAACATATTATGCATGGAAACAACCACAAAAAACCGTCATAAGATTTATTTAGAGCATCACTAATACTATCAAGGTTGTCTCAAGAATCCAAACTGCGAAAAAAAACAAAAAGAAAAACAATAAAAACCCTCCATATAAAAGAAAAACATCAACATAAATATCTACATCTCTGGCGATGCAAAAAGACAATATGTAAGTACATTCACTTGCATAAACATCCACATAAATATCCATATAAATGTCTACATTCACTTGAACATCAACGGAGACAAGAAAAAAAATACTATCATCCACATAAGCACCCACATCCATTGAGATGTACAAAAATAATAAAGACATTACTTTCATTAAGATGCAGAGACATAATAAAGAACTAGTTTTGTCCACATAAAACATCCACACAAACAACTACAATAAACAGAAAAGAAGTCCTCTCTTTAATATGAAAGGGGTTTGAGTTCCATTGTTCCAAAAAAAATCCAAACAAGCAAGCTAAAAGTCCTGAGGGAAATGGGACTGCAACCACAACTTACGATCAATGGACAGGAACATGCGGGCTTTCATAGAATCTATAAACTAGTTAGCAGCCTTGATCTAGAGCTATGAATCAATGCCTTCCTTTTTTTAAACATCAGACACAGTATCTATGCATCATATGTCTGCAAAAGAAATGAATGATCGAATATCCTATCCATTGAGATCGACAATGATCCAATTGCAGAAGCCAAGTATTGTCCTATTGACATGGCTTGTTACCTCCACAATGGCCCCACAACTGTATATGACTGACCACGATTCCTCTTTCATTTGCCAGAGGAGCAACACCAACATCCCCGCTAGTGGCATCCGATAGTAACTTTGTGGCTACTGCCTCCTTCACCTCTTGAGATATCCGATTCAATTCCTTATGATCTGGCTCAGGCTGATTATCCCTCACCGTCAAAGATTTCGGGCCAACACTCCATGTCATCCATGGGAGGGAAGCTCTGCTCTTGTACTTTAATGCCCAACTGCGCCTCTGCGACAAAACAACTATGGAAATTGAACAAATGGACACAGGTTACATAAAGAATAATATTAATAAAAAATAGTTCGAATCTTCTGTACCTCACAATATTGCACCCATATTGCCCAATCCGTGGAGACCATCCTCTTATCCTCATTCCAATAGAACCTAGACTCCCCAGGTAGGTTCTAAATATGGGCACACGAAGTCTTCAATGACCACAATCTATTTCTTATCCTTGTTTTGTCGAATCTTGAGCCATATTTCTCGCACATCACACGTGTAATTCTTGCCCAATCCTCCCTACATAAACTCCATTCCGCCTCAACTTGTCTTCCACATAGCTGGTCATTACTTCCATAAGTTTATCATCTCGTGGAGCTGTCCATTGGTAGTTTCTTCCACCGTATCGAAACTCATTCTTAGATGATCGGCAATAATCTAATATGCTATATAGTCATCATGGTGATCATACGGATGGACCACTTTACAATTGACTAAATGCTCACATATCTGTAAACATCCCTTATAAATTATGGCCAAGGGAATTCTTAGAGACGTCAAATTCTATGCCTTAAGGACTATACTTAGCCTAGTGAACCATACTGAACCTAGACCCATTAGATTTGTCCCAAAGTCACACAAAACCTATTCTAATACACTAGAATTGTCATCTTAGACATCCTTGATCCTAATAAATGTAAAAAACTAGCTCGGACACCATTTGGATGCTTATAAATTGAAATCGAGACCCAAAAGTCCTATCCTTGTAGACTCATGATACGTAACTCAAACGTAACTTAGAAGGGCTTTAGTGGTAGTTATGGATTTTTTATGAGCATGTTTTGACCTAAATTTACCTTAGGACAATTAGAAATGACTTTAGAATTTTCAGAATTACCCTTGACCTACTCTTATTTAAACCCCTTCAGAAAATACAAGAAAATATCAAATCAAATACCAGAAAATTTAGAAATTCCAAAATAAATCAAAAAAAAATCTCAAAAAGTAAACATGGCTAAATCCCTTAGGAAGAACCTTAGAAAATAGGAAAATCCTATAAAAATAAAGTAGGTAACCTAGATCATAGAAATCCTAGCTTTTCCTATCCCAAATCCTGAAGTTCTTAGGAATTATAAAATCTAGATCTAGGTTAAAGAACCCTAACTCCAGCAATTTCCCAAGCCATAGAGCTTCCCAAAATAATCCCTCAAGCAAAAGCATTCAAGCAAGGATAAGGTGAGCGTACGAGCGGCCAAATCCGAGCCCAAAACTATGGGTCTTGGGGCCAAGGTAAGTCATCCATCCTTTTACTTTATTTCTTTTATTTATTTCTATTTTTTATATTTATTACTGATTTTGTAGTTTTAATTTAGGTTGTAGGTTATTAAAGTTTTTTATGTGTGAAATATTAGTTGCACTGCCAGCAAATTCAAAAAGTCTACTTAGATCTGTATTAGTTTCGAATCTGTAATTCAACTTACCCCAATTTTCTATCAATCTCATCAATTTTAACTCGTTTTGCATGAATTTTAGTTAATTTCATCATAGATCCGCACAGATCGCGCGTAAGCAGTTTGGCACCCACCGCGGGGAAGTTGAGCTAAAATTTTACACCTTTTAAAACATCAAAGGCTTCTTGTTTTTCTCATATTCATTTTCCAAAAAAAGAAAAAAAAAAGAAAAGAAATAAAAACCTCATATTGTCATTGTACTCGACAAATTTTAGACACTTTTATACTATTGTTTTGTACATGGAGCATTTTTTAATAAAGGTATTTTTGGTCATTAAGAGGGGTATAACCTCATCTACATAGGGTGTGACATCACCCACATGAAATATATATATATATATATATATATAAATAATAGTTTAAAGTTACTAAATTAAAAAAATTAAACAAAGGGCTACGTACGGACCCCGAACAGAATGACTAATTTAGGTAGTTCTCTAAGGTATCACCCATGTACTTAACCAAAACTACCCTAATTTTACCTAACCAAAGTAAAGTTAACGGTACCGAACCGACGA